AGGAGACCAAAGAAAAACAACAGCAGAGCACATGTATGTACACATCTTCGTAACTACTCTTATTTCAAGGAACTATGCTACCTTAAATGACATAATTCACCTTATTTCAGCTGCTTCATAGTTACTAAAGTAAAATTTCTCAAAGATCATTCTACTTGACTCCCATATTACCACGCATCTCACAGCAGCTGTATCACAAAGCGATAGTGCTCTTGACGTTTTGTAGAGTCACACACAGTTCTCTCAGACTTTGTGACTTCTTACCAAACAGGAATTGCTGCCTTTCTCAGGCTGTAAAAATACATCTACTCATTTTTTCAATACAAAGGATCATAAAACTGTCAAGTGACCAACTAAGTACATTTGAGTAATGTAAACCAAGTAAGATTTCAAGCATTTTATCAGCACAAAGGAGGAAAAAAATAATAAATACGAAACCTTCTCAAAATATATGCTTTCGTTCAATCTGAAAACAAAGCAAAAATGAGCACCATCCTTCAAATCTATCCTCTGACCTGATGCCTTTCATTTAAGACGACTTACCTATTGATCCTTTAGCTGCTATTGCAACTGCTTCCAGAAGAACCTGAATAATGCCAGCACGAACTCGTGGTGAGTCCCTTTTGCGAACATCGAGGTGTCCAAGAATTTCTTGTATTACATGATGGGAATATTGTGCCTATTAAAAAACAAACAAACAGAAAGAAAAGCTTCATCTGTGGCTTTAGTAAGAATAAACTTATACACCATTCAGCTATAGTCATGACCATGTTCCTATTCTGCAACATTCTTACTCATAAATTTATCTAAATTTCAATCAATTCATTATTAAATACGGATTAAAAAAACTACCATGACAGATAAAGCCACAAAGTTCCATCCAGCGCAGTATACAAAAGCTTACAGTATTAAAATATCCAGGAACATCTACAAGAACAGAGGAAGCGTGAAGTGGTACTTCATTCAGCTAACTGCAGTTCAAGGACTTCAGCTGGTCTTACAAAAAAGCATTGTTGATACAAATGCTGAGAAAACTCAGCTTTCTTCCACAAACCTAGAATTTTATGACTTTATCTTTAGGGTGCCTGTGCTTGACGCATCCACGAATCAGACTTCCATCATGTTTACAATAGAGGTTGCCCGCTAGTAAAAAATCAATTAGCACAACACTATTTCATGTGAAGTTGGTTTCTTGGGTTGTAAAAGCAGTAGAGCTGTATTGGCACGGAGACATGACCAACTTAAGAGAGATTTATTTATCAAGCACAATGTCAGATCAGTATGGCTATCCTGCTCCTTGTTCTGGAGCTTGCTCAGGGACCTCCGCGCTACCTTCCATCGAGAATCCCTTAATATATTTTTTTCTTCTGCAAGTGTATATTAATTGAAAGTAAATCAGATAACCTCTGATCATAAACCACGATTAGGTTATTATTTGAAAAGTTTAAAGAGTAAGGCTAAGGAGTTATGGAAACGGATCTTCTGGATTCTTTGACTTCATCTACTGTCTATCATTATCATGGTGAGGTGAGCATTTAACCCTGTCTCATGTGCTTGAAACGTATGCAAGGAAAACAAACCCTGGAGAAAATCCTACCTGTATAGAATACATGATGATTTTGAAGCAGGAAACAGCAAATTCATTGGGATCCCATAGTCTATGATGATCTAAATGCCTGTAACCAAAAATTAAGGGACCTGAAATAATGACATTCCACAGATATAACAAATGGCATCTTAACAGTTTTATCAAAATTCACCTCAAAGGAATTATTTCCTTACATAAAGCTTCTAAACAATCACTTATTAACTAGGTGAGAAAACTAGAACTTCAGAAAAGCATTTCTTTTCAAGGTTTAGGTTGTGATCACAAAACATTTGGCTGTAACAGAAATTCCTGATCTTTTAGTTTCAGGAATTTAAGGAACCTTAATACCAAAGATATACAGCTAAGAATATACTCTTTCCATACAAAGTGCACGCATAAAAATGGCTGTGACATTATATGCTTATTTACATGAAAGAGACACACTGAAGAGGATGGTTATACCACCTTGACAAACTTCTACTCTAAATAAGGTAAAGAATTTGTTTTGCATCATGAGCTACAAAATAATTATGGCTGAATGTTAGATCCAGAATAGAGACTCTAAGAACTATCTTCATTTTCACAGTGGTTTCATGAACAAAATATATGGAAAACAAAAAAGAGCTACTCTTTGTGTATATACTTCTTTACCACTCTGAAGCATTTCAACACTTTCTGCAAGAAATATCAAAACAGAATCGGAACAATAAACACATCAGTTTCCCTTTAAATGGGATAGGAATCACTGATGAAAAACTTTTGTCGGTTTCAAGCAAAGACAAGAAACTCCCAAAGGCTGGGACCTTTGAGGTTTTAATGGTACGGTTTGCTTCTTTGTTTGATGCAAAGGAACATACCACCACTTTCCTGAGTGGAAAGAAGTACCGTGTGGATGACTTGCATTCAATCGGAGCTGGTGATCTGCTCAACTCCATGTTTGAATTTAGTGAGAAACTAAATGCCCTGCAACTTAGTGATGAGGAAATGAGTTTGTTTACAGTGGTTGTCCTGGTATCTGATGATTACTCCGGAATAGAAAATGTCAATTCCGTGGAGGTACCTCAGGAAACACTAATCCGTGCATCAAGGACCTTAATCATGAAAAATCACCCAAATGAAGCCTCTATTTTCACAGAGGCCTCTATTTTCAAGCACTATGCTGAAAGCTATGAATAGGGCACACATCAAATTTTCCAAAAAGGAGACCTGAGTACCTGGGAAAGCATGACAAAAATAAATGCATTTTTACATCTAAAGATTGTACAAGTAATTTGGCATGCCTTTTAATTGGAATGCTTTAGGTAAAAGAGAAAAAAAAAAACCCACAAAAAAACCCCAAAATAAACCCCCAAACCCACAAAAAACGTTCTTACAGAAACTGAATTTAAGTAGTGTTTCTAAATAGGTATCTCAGCTACAGAATCACTACTGGTCTGCCCCTTCTCAAAGAACATAGTAAACATACAAAGACGCCTCAAATAACAAACTTGAAAGCATACAGGCGAAAGAAGTCAGTAGTCTGAACACAGGAGGATGGACTGGATACTTAACTTACTTTGCACAGAATCTGGATTAATCTGAGAATTAACTCACTGGCCAGCTGCTACCAGCCTAGTGACCTAGCTGAGTACACAGGTCTTCAAGGTTGATTAAACCAGCTGGCACAAAGCTACCCTCTCCTACGCCCTAAATTATCTTGCAGTCCACTGCAGAGCTTAAAAAACCTATACCTCCATTTTGACACATTACATACCTTTAACAGAAATCCCTACAGGAAAGAATTTAAGGAATTTTAAAGATGTTTGCCAAGATAATAGCATATTTGCATTACTAAATATTAAACTGAACGACCTGTTGGGGATAGCTGCCTTTCTTGTGCACGTTCCAAACACACAGGTATATTTAATCCCGCCTTGGGGCAGAAAGACAAACAAAATTACCTCTTTAAATCCTTCAAGGATTAGCAGCTCATAATATATTTATTCATATCTTCTTTCTCCCTAATGTCATTCCAGTACAGTCCACCGTTTCTTGTACACGATAGCTTATTTTAGCTAACCTATTTTCTTTTTGTCTCATCAAATACAAAATCATACTCTCCACTATCTTCTCCTGATTGGAACTGATCCTTTTATCTTTCAGGGTAGCACGTGTTCTCTGTTACCCTTGACAGTTCCTCTTTATCTGCCCCAAAGATCCATTCAGGCAGATTATGGTCAACTACACCTTACATCAGTTTTTTTTTTTAAAAACCTTTCCTCTTGAAACAAGACATACAGTTTTCTTTTTCCAGAAAGGCAAAGTATTAGCTGCTTCAGGTAGCTGAACTGATGGGAAGACAGCAGGGAGAAGATGACAGCCTAGATTAATGTTTTGTGTAATAGCTCAACGGGCAGCATACTTTGTACACTGGAATTTTCCTTCTAAGAAAAGGAGTATTAGATTACTGTAGGTGATATATTTTACTTGTCATAATGCAGGCAGTGTATTCAATGTAGTTTTGTTTTTGTAAAAGATGGTGAATGGTATTGTCAGCATGGTGTGTTTAGTTTAGTTAAAATCAAGTCACATTTTGCTCATTTTTTTTCCAATTACATTTCTTTTAATAAAGAATATCCAAGTAAGATTGCAAAACATTTTATGGCTGGATTAACAAATGCCAAACTCTGCTTTTCATTACGATCTGCTGTATATATGTAGCAAATGTGCACAATTAAGTTTCTCAAATCAAAAGGAACAGCAGAACGAATGGTGCACATTACTACTTTATGGAGTGAGAGCCACAAACAGTCCCTGAATTCACTCACATTGTCACACATGCAAGCAATCCTTACAGTACAAAATGATAAATTGATACTCATGATTAGAAATCAGAACTGAGGCATGTATGGGAATATATCAAATAATCTTCTCATGCATCATGTTTGCTGAAAGAATATTAAACATCAGTCTTTTGATATTCAAAACCCTTGCACAGATGACGTGATAACTCATTAGAATGGAAATACAGCGAGATGAATAGGGTGTAACTTGTTATACTTGGGAAGTTGTTTATGTTCACTAGATTTCTGTATCCCTCAGGATCTGCCTAATCTATTCACCATTGCAAATTCATGCTAAGTAAGTCTAAATAGCTTGTGACTCTTGACACAAAATACAAATTTTTTTCATATCATATTAATATAAAATTTTTGACTTTCATTAAGCAGTTTGCCAGATTGATCTGTCGATTTCATTAAAAATGAGAATTTGAGACTTTCTAGCTACTAAATGTAGAGACATTATAACCATGGAGATTTTCTGCCAAAGGCAAGGAGAATTAAGGTCAATCCAAACGCACACCAGGAGACCGACTTCAGATTTCAACTATCTTCACTCTATTTAAATTCCTCAGTTGTTGAATGTACTCAGCCTCATGATGCAAGAAGCACTATTCTCTCAGTTTTGCAAGGAAGTGATCGCACGTTGACTGACATTCCAATGCCACATGAAGCAAGCCTTCAAATGGGGAACTGAACCTGCATCTTCAGTATTAGCACTGTAATAACCGGCCATATCTTTATTTCCAGAGCTTTCTTAAAAGCTGTGAAATTATTGAAAACTGTTAGGAGAAACTGTTTTCTAATCAACTATGCATAAACTAAGTCAGGTTTTCAATCAGATGAAGTGCAATGGACTCACTGTCTCAAACTTTCATTCTACCAGTTCTGCTCATTCACAAAGTGAAGCTGATTAGATAGAGCACTCCCTTTTTGTTTAGGAAAAATAGCTTGCAAATTGCATTTTCTGTATCTCTTGTTCTTCAAAAATACTAAACCTTTACAGCAGTTATTTATAAAAAGATAAATTTATTTGGCAATTCTTCCTCAAAATGGAACACAAAAATGGTGACCACAAAGACTCTTTATTCACAGAAGAGAGAATATATTCTGAGTAACTGGTCATTATCTACCGCACAAATGCAGCATGTGGCTCGCAGAGATGCACAAAGATTCAAGCGGTTCCTTAGGATCATAGCGAGTAAGAAAAGAAATTAAACTGGAAATAACACTTTGAATACATAAAGCTTTGGATCTGTCACAGGAAATGCAGGTATGACACCTTCTCAAATCCCAAACCAAGCACTAGCTCTAGTCTAGGGAATTAGGAATTATTTGTGGGAAACTTCCCTGATACTGAAATAATTCAAAAGACTGATGTAACTGCACATGCTGATAAAGTTTTGAGATAAGTCCATAAAAGGAACTTAAAAGTCGTAAGAAAGCAGCTGCAATATAGTTCCAAATAGTCCATCCAGACTGTTTAGTACCTAAACGTTCACTCTAATGGCAGGTATTTTGGAGGAATGCAAATTTTAAATGTAGGAAATGATGAAAAATTTTTAATAAAACACTCAACTTTGCAACAGTTAAACTCCTATCAGATTGGTATAATAGGTACACATGGAAAGTAAGATAATAGTACAGTTCTTTGCATTTAATGCTTTTGGGTGAAAAACAAAGGGCTACAAAAGTTTTCTGCCCTCAATGCCTACCCTATCTTCTTTTTGCATTTCTGTTCTTACAGAACAGCAGTAACTTGAAAACGGCTTTTGGTAGCTTGAAAGTCTTTCTGTGTATGAATGGAATACTTAGTCTTTGTGGGAAGAACTAGGCCATCTAAGAGAAGATATTCCCATAACAGGCAGGTATCTTGAAAATCTACAACAAGGAGCAAGCAGCTCTCGTCATCACCAGGAAAAGCTAGGGTTTGAATGTAGTATCATCAAGTCTAGAGCTTCCTGCAAAGATTTCTCCTGAGAACATGACTACTTTGCAGACACTAGCAGAGGTAAAATAAGCAGATTTAAGTTATCTCAATGCTTGTACCTTTTTTCACAACATATTTTTTAAGGAAGCAACTGGGGCAATGCAGAGAAGTGAAAAACGCTGGACTTGATAGTTAATACATCAGCTGTAATTTGCACTGTGTGCATTTGTGCATAACGTGCATACTGTGTGCACATCTGCCATTTACTACTACATGAGATGTTAAAGATATTCCTCACAGAATATCAAAACAGGTCTTGGCAGAAAACTGCAAGAAAGTAGAAGTCTTAACTTTATGTATTAATCTGGGCACAGTAATCCTTTGTGCTACTTGTATTATACTTGGATGCAACAGTCATCTATGGGACATTAACATCTTGAATGAACAGTTTTACATTCAAAAGAAAGGTCAGCTGAGGCAACAACCCATCCAAATCACTATACTGCACTTCTAAGATCAGCAAAATGAGACACACATTTCTCCATAACTACCTTCGAGTTAACAGATATGCAACAAAGAGGTGAGATTAAAAGAGGGGCAATTTTTTGAAGAAACATGAATGGAAACCTTTGGGTTGAAAAGGAGGAAGGAATTTAATGCAACATAATTAGAGGATAAAAAAAAAAAAAAAAAATCTCTTAAGATAAGACCTTCCATGAATTTTCAACTTACGCGAAAACTGGTCTGACAGCATTATTCATATTTCCATAGGTTGCTCGTCCTAGTAGTTCCCTGAAACAATTCTCGGCCAGCAGAGCAGGATTTTCCTCTTTCTCTCCTCCTGTAGGAGAGGATGGAGGGCCTATTCTGCTGAAATAAGACAAAAATACATTGATTTTACTACTGATTAATATTAATCTTCCTTATCGTACTCACCCTTGGTTCTACAACATTTATGAGTCACGCTTTTGATCTAGGCAAGAATTATATCTCCAATATGCATCAAACCAGAATTCTGAATAAAACATTCTATCCTCTTATAGCAGGACTATAGATCATCATCTGTTCACTCAGTACTGACCACTGTATTAGTAAATATTTATATGGCAAAACCAATGGTTGTTAATACTGATTTAACTTGTTACCCACTGCATTTTGACAAACTATTACCTATTGCTAACAATGAACGAAGGCTATGAAACCATGCAAAAAGTTAGGCAGAATCTTAGTTACTTTGTTCAGACTAATGATCTCATTCACCTGCCCACTACTGAATCCACACTGTGTGGGTGAGTGTTAAATAAAACTCCAATACTTCTGCAGAAACAGATGGCTTGTGAGTTGAAAAAGAGTCTGATTGAACTAATTAGAACATTATCACCCACAGTTACCTCTAACTAGACAGTGTACAAGTTAGTCACCTTCTAACTGTCTCCCAACATTACTATGGAGGGGACTGTACAGGGTGTCCGTGCCCAGGCAC